CGGAAATGTATTTTCGCGAAAATCCTCCGAATCGTTTCTAACGATCGAAGATTATAGGTTGTCAAAAATATCGCGAATAAAAAAAAAAAAGAAAAAAAAACAAACTCGAAAGTAATTAAAGTGAAAACTCCACAATGTTGCGCACGTTGGGAATGAAAAAGTGTAGCGGCAAACGTACATACGCATCGCAGGCTGGTGTATACACGCGCGCGCGGCAACGCACACTTCGAAATGCTTTCAGTGTAAACATATTTCCTATTTGTATTCTATCCGGATGGAATCCTGTATTCAGCGAGCCGTGCGCGGCGAATTCATCCCCCGCTTCATCCTTCGATTCCTCCCTCTCGCGTGCTATCGCGCGCGAACGGAATGAGACGGGGAAGAGACAGAAAGAGAGAAACACTGTGTGTGCGTTGTATTTCGTGCGCAACGCGTTTGTGAAGTTTTCGCGCGTGTGCGTGTCGCGCGTTTGCTTCCGTAATATTAAATATAAAGGAAAGATATTTCAATATTGGTCGGCAAACACGTAAATAGGACACGGCCGTTTCCCGGCTTTTCCCGGCGCGCGTTGTGTGCACACGTTCTTCTTCTGTCTGCCGACGCATATTATATGCGGGATCTCTCGCGGAAAGAGAGAGAGAGAGAGAGAGAGAAAGAAAGAAAGAGGAGACCTGAGAAAAATGCTGTCGCCGTGCCTACTGACAGGCGAAACGTGTCGCCTGGAAGCTTTCGCGGGAAACGAATGCGATTTTCCAAACCGTAGGAAAATTCGACACTTTCCGTACAAGACCGTGTCGATCGCGAAGTTTCGTCTTCAAGATTGAATCAGCCGGTTGGAAAACAACGTTGTACCTCAGGTGTGCGCATCGATTCATTACTGTCTGATGACGCGTGAAATAATTTCGCCGATGTATCACTTTAATCGACGTTATTAATCGCAACAAAAAAAAAACGCGCACGTAACGATTTTAAAGCGAATCGAGAAGACATTTTACACGATTTACTTCGATTTAATTAAATCAACCGAAAGTTATGAATGAACTGTTTTTAAATAAATAAATTTCGTTCTCTCAACCAATGACAGAGATCGCTCGACAAAACTGATTCTTCCTCGGCAAAAATTCGTTATTGTGTCGTTGAACATCGTTAATTGTCGCGCACGTGGCACTGTCGATCGATCCGGCGCGATGGGGAGTTCGGCTATTATTTTTATTCAACGCGTATCTCGTTGCGTGTCTCGCAAAAACAAAATGCGAGAGGACAAACTATTTAATAGGAAAGGAGAAAAAAAAACAAGACATTATACCCGCGATGCAAATAAAACAAAGGGAGAAACAATGTCCGTAATTTTTTGCGAGGAAGGACGTTGTTTTAATGTGTGTGAAAAATTGTGCGCTCAAATCACACAATTCCACGTCTCCTCGTTGTTGTGTCCCCCTCGTGTATCGTAAAGCAAAGACCGAATTTACCAGACCGTCCATCCGCGGCATCGATACGCGCGTGAGATAAGAGAAACGGAGAAATTTCGCGGAGAGATATGCGATACTTTAGTTTTTAACGAGATACACGAGCTGATAGTTTTGCGCAAAAAAAAAAGAAAAAAAAAAGAAAAAAAAGAAAAACGACGCGGAAGCAGGAATTTGGAAAAAAATGGAAAATATAACGCGTTCGATCGAGATGTAATTACAAATTGACGCGATACGTTTCGCCCGTAACGGGAGTCCCGAGTCTTAAGTTACCTCCCGTGGCTTTTTCACGAGCGCGAAACAAAACCAGTTTAATACGCGTAAATGCGCAAGTTCCGCGGAGCAATCATTTTTCAGAAGGAGGGAGAAAATTTTCACGGCAGGATCGAGGTATCGCGCGATACCTATCTAAATATTCCGCTCGCTTATACACAGTAAAAAAGAAAATGTTAATTTTAACATTTTTTGCGTGTCCCAGGAGGTCCACTCTAAATTTTAAGTTAAAATAACTCATTCGTTGTGAGTCACTTATTGACAAACTAGTAAAGTCAAATAATTGACACAATACTTTACATTTATATTTGTTATTTTGACTGTATAAATAAAAATGATATGTAAAAGTAACATATAAAATAATGAAAAACTACACAAAACAACAGTAGTTACAGTAACTCGTAAGAAATGTTAATCAAACATTTTAGTTTGTTCAATGTGACCAGAGATTTTTTTTAACTCTTTTTAGCGCATGTTAAATTGACTTTGAGACATCTAGATTAATTGAAATCATTATGTTAAAAGCACTTAAACAATACTCCATTTTTAAATGATATGCAAAAAATGTTAATTTGTGAAGTTAACATAAATTTAACACGTGAAAAGATTAAAAAAAAAAATAATAACATATCAGTATTATGTTAATTTTACATTGAAGTAATAATCACAAAACGTCGTAACACAAAAAAAGGTCTACATTTTGACGCACGATTTTTTACTATAAAATAGTCGCGACTCTTCCCGATCGATACGATAAACTGAGATTACAAAAAGTTGAAAGGATATATTGCGCCGGGCGTTTTTCAACGCAATGTCTCTTCATGTTCCCACGCGTTGCCTACATATGTATATTGGGTGCGTAAAGTGGCTCGCGTGCGTTGATTATTTAAAATTTATGAACAACAGATCGCTCTCTCACACTCTTTCTCTCACACAGCCCGATGTGTCATCGTTGTCTTTGCGTTATCATGTCTCAGGTGTTGAAGATCTAATTGTCCATCACCGTCGCGCGCGAGTCCCTCATCGTATAGCGCGGACTTATGAATATTTTAAGCGCGGCTATTACCTCCCTACAAATGTCATCGTTAAACCGATGATAATTCGCCCGTTAAGTCTGTATCGTTTCTTTGCCGTACGCGCGTACGCAATAAAGCGAAAAGTTACGACGCCGGAGCGATGAGATAATATTAAAACAAACGTTAAATAAAACTTGAAAGATAAAGATACGAGTGAAAACGAAAAGACGTGTTTATAAATTTATTTTTATATTAATTATTTTTATCTTGTGTATTCTTCTTCGTGAAATATACTAGTAGGGAAGTGGCCAATTCGAGGTATTGTCGTACATATCGTATGTATAGTACACTGAAGAAAATCCAAACTAAAAGGGTCGAAACGTTTGTTAAAAACTATACAAAAATTAAGAAGTTTATCGACCCGAAGATCTGGTTATTGCCTCGAATTGTGTGGCCACTTCCCTACTAGTATAATTATTTTTATCGTTTTAGCAACAAAGAAATTCTCGCTGTTACGTAAATTAAAATATAATGAAAACAATATCGCTTTTTTGTGTAAATATATCGGAAGTAAGAAAAACTGCCACGTCAGATATTTCGCTCCGAATGTAGACAGAAACAAAAGCTGGCGAACGTGAAAATTGTATTTTTAACATATTGTTATTCTCGAACATTGTTACCAATTACCGGAAATTATTGCTGAATCCATTAGTAAAATTTGTATTTAAAATTGTACTTGAGTTTTTTCAATTATATAGTACATGTAAAACATTTTTTCATACGCAGAGAAAAATTTTTCACACACAAGAGGAGGATTTTATTCGTAACGGTTCTCGAAACTTCTAAAACAATATGCGCGCTACTCAATCTCTGTATCTTTTCTCCACGCTCGGCAATTACGATTGCAACGCGGTTTCGCCGAAAACCGCGACGTACGGCACGTGGAATCCACTCGGGCGGATAACGAATTCCGAAATCGCGAGCCGACGAAAATTCGGTGGCCTGCGAAATTAACAGCCGCGCCGGGTCACGCCGGTAATTGCGCGCGGGCTCCGTTTTACCCCGGGCCATAATATCAAAACGCGCAGCAACCCTTTATCGCAGAGCGGCGCACGTGTTTTGTTCGTTCGTTTGTTCGTTCGCTCGCTCGCTCGCTCGCAAGGGAAACACACGCGCGCACAACTGTGTCAGTCCACGCGCGGATATTTGTCTTCCGGGAGGGAAAAAAAAATATTTCGGAGCATCGCGCGAGAACACAGCAGAGTATACCGGTTCTCTCTCATCCATATTGTCATATTTTCGGTGTTTCGGGTGTACACTCTATCAACCAGAGATGTTGATATACGTACTCTGTACTATTTTTTAATTGTTTTCAATACAAGCCACGCGCATCCTCGTTCTTCGTTATTTTTATTTGAGGCGTGTTGTCGGCTGCCCGGCTAATCTCGCCCACGATCATCCCCTAATTACAACGACCGTGTCAATAGAATTAAGGTCGGACGATCGATCCCGTGGTAACTTCTTGTTCCACTATGCCCGTTTCTCCTTCACGTTCACCGGTTGTATTTACTTTGCGAACGGACAGGGCGATTCTTTCGTGGATAGAAAAAGTCACGGGGCAGAGGGGAAGAAGATATTTGAATTATACCAGGTCGGTACCTGACGCAGGCGAAGATAATCACGCGCCTCGCAACGGCCATTTCGTCCATCGCGCGGTGTTGCTCTTTTAGAAAGAGAAAGAGAAAGAGAGAGAGAGAGAGTTGACGTAAAAAGAACTCCGGAACGGAAAACGGATGTACGAGAGTCGGGATTGAAAAAAAAAAAAGGAGGAAGAGAAATGAAGAGCAGCACGTGGGCGGGAAAAGGATGACGCGAAGTGGGTTTTCCGCAGCCGAGCCCCTAACGTCTCCGCATGATGTGGTAGAAACTCTATTAGCGGTGAAAAAATGAAGCCGCAACGAGTGGCAGGAAACACAGACGTCCTCTTCGACTGCGCGCGCACACATACATATATTTCCATATTTCGCTCGAAATAACTATAAGAGATTACGCGGAACGCAATTCATTACAGAGCATTCCATTTCGACGTTTCTCTCTCTCTCTCTCTCTTTCTCTCACATCGTTTCTAATTAGTAAGTTCAAACCAGCGAGTCACAAATTTGTGAGCGCGTTACAATAATTGTAAAACCGATTAGCCGAGCGCAATCTCTCCTTAATCTTTTGGCGCTTTGTGTTTTGTTTCCAGGTACCTTGCAGATCATCGAATCCGACGTAACCGATCAGGGAAAGTACGAGTGCGTCGCCAACAACTCCGTAGGCACGGAGTACTCTAAGTCAACCACGTTATACGTGAAAGGTACGTCGTTTTAATCTACTTCGCATTTAATCTACTCATCGTTTGAGCCAAGATCTAAACAATTCAATTTGAGGGTTCATTTTCATTAAGCGTAGTTTCTTTTTTCCCGGCTCGATCGGAGAAATTGTCTCGTCGTTTTTAATGACGAAGATTGCTCTCGCTAAATAAAAGAAAATAGAGAACACGTGTAATTCATTAACGAAACTCGACGGATTTGAGACCACAAAAAAAAAAAAAAAAACGAGACAACGTGTTTTGCCGACAAAGCGTAACGCGAGCTTATTGTTACACAGCTGGTCATGTCGATGTCACAAACGTAGACGTTTTCCTGCTTCGTAATTAAAATTAATGTAACGCAATTAGGACGCAATTAAACTAAACGGGCCGGCACAAAGGGCCCCCGGCGCGTAACATGCGCGACGTGAGTCGTGCGCTCGCGCGCGCCGGGGCTTTTCCTTTCTTGCGTTTCCGCTCGCGTACTCGAATCGTCTCTCCGCGACGATTGTGTTTAATCGTCGTGGCACAGCGATTTGCAAAATCTGCGCGCCGCGGCTTCGAAATAATTTGTTCAAAAGTTTCTTGCACTTCGCGTGCAAGTTTTCGCAAAGTACGGTTAATTCTGTACTGTCGTAAACGCGCGCGCAAACAATTATTCCCTAATTGGACGCGCCGGTACGCGCATTTGCATTTCGATTTAACGCATTTCTCTCTGTAAATAAATAAACAAATAAATGTAAATCCAATCGCGTCGCAACTTTTACTTGACGCAAACGATTTTACTATCGATAACATAAAAAATGTGTGTGTGTGATTGAGGATTTTAAAAGAACTTGAAAATCAGATAAACGTGTTGGAAGAAACGTGTTGTTTAACAACCGATTGATTGTTCAGTACGTCGCGTGGCACCGAGTTTCTCGATTCCACCACCGCCTGTGAACGAGGTGATGCTGGGCGCATCGCTGAATCTCACCTGCGTCGCGGTAGGCGCACCGATGCCATTTGTAAAATGGAGAAAAGATCCCGCGACCGATCTGACACCGGACGACAATCTGCCGGTCGGCAAGAACGTCTTAAGGCTGACCGACATCAAGGAATCTGCCAATTACACTTGCACCGCCGCAAGCGATCTTGGCATAATCGACGCGACCGCTATGGTTAAGGTTCAATGTATGTATTGAGACGGTAGGACCTACTTAAAGTGTTTTCCCTGACGACACAGAGCCCACAGTCTCTTCTGGATCGCGCTTTTTTACGTTATCTCGCAATATTCACCGGGAAGCTAAACGATCCGCTTCTAAACTTTGCATTACGATAGTAACATCAGACACACGGTCATATAAAGCAATTACAAAATAAACTTGGCACTTGCAAAATAATAATTTCGATAACTTTACTAATTTTTTTCCAAAGTTTTAAAAATATCGCGAAACAACATTAGCCCTGATATGATCTTTCGGATGATATCTGATCGACAATCGCATCTCGAAGTTCAGAAACGAAAAATCGCGGAGACGAAAGATTGCAATGATCCGATCCTTGCGCAGCTCTTCCCGGCCCGCCTGAGAACGTTCAAGTGTCGGACATAACTGCGACGTCGGTGAAGCTGAGCTGGTCCTACAAAGCCGGAAGACCGGACGAGCTGCAGTACTATGTGATTCAGCACAAACCGAAGCACGTGAACCAGGCATTCGCCGAGATATCCGGTATCACGACGATGTATTATCACGTCAGAAGTCTCAGCCCGTACACGGAGTACGAGCTGTACGTGATAGCTGTAAACAGCATCGGGCGTGGTCCCCCAAGTGCCCCGGTGATAGTCACCACCGGTGAAACAAGTCAGTATTCACTACCACACTATCGTTTTTTTTTTTTTTTTTTTTTTTTATTGCACTTTTCCGTTGTACACCTGGAAACGATCGTTTTCCTTAAAGAAAAGTTTCGAATCGCGGTTTCAATTCCATTTTCACGAAAATTTTTGCACGCGATTAAATTGTCGCGAGCATTGGAGTCTTGCCATTTATGCGAACAGATTTTTCAAAAAGATTAAAAATTCACCGTGCGGCTTTGCGCGTCAAAATTGAATAAAAAACACTGTTGCAAGAGGAAATATCGTTTCTATGGTTACAGCTGGGTGTATCATTTTATCACATTTTTCTCTCGCCAGTTTCTCATCGTCTCAGACGTGAAAACTACATCGTATGGTTCAATTAACCAGGAAGTGTAAATGGCATTTAATTAAATAATCTTGACGATATATTATATTTACGTATATATAATATATTTGTATATACTGAGACTTGGCAGAGTCTGTCACGTCACAAAAAAAAAAAAAAACTCATTATTCACAAGTCAACTCACGTATCACATTTCTGCGTCTTTACTAACGAGCGCGCGCGCATTATAACACATGCTTCAAACAAACTTGGATCGCCGACTAAAGCAAAAAAAAAGGAAAAAGCGCGATCGAACCGTTCGACCCGATCATTTTTTTTTTTTCGCGCGGAGAAACGCGCGGTAATGTGTACGGAGCGGAGGGAACGGTCGCTAGACTCCGATGTATCGAGAGAGCGTTAAAAAAAAAATGTTTTTTGCACGTAGATAGAATTTTTTTGTAACACCATCGTGAAAGAGGAAGCGAATTTTTATACGCACATTTTTTGAGGGAAAATTCTGTACTTTTTTCCATGCTGTCCGCCGTGGACGCACGATTTGATTCATGTAAGTGACAAGAAAATTTTTTTTCACCTATCACCAAAATCCCCCCACTCTTGCTCTTTGTTGCACCAGTGTGTTAGTGTGTTTTTGGCGGGACCGTTCCACAGCGTTTCGTCGCGCTTCGACGTCTCGTGTCATTGTGCATTTTTTCGCCTCTACATTCCTCAGCCTCTCTCATTGTCTTTTCACTCTTTTTCTCTCTCTTTTTCTCTCTCTCTCTCTCTCATTCTCACTCTCACTCTCACTCTCTTTCTCTCTCACTCTTTCTCTATCTCTCACTTTGTTTCGTCTCGGATGCGTCTCCCCGTCTTCTTCTTTCCTCAGCGAAAGGGGAGGCGAGAAACGAGCACGCGGGAGAGACAGCACGCGAAATTGCATTTTTCCTACAGATAAAATAGTAGCACACACTTTCTCACCCCCGTGAAAATACGAAGAAGGCGTAGACCGCCGTTTTCTCACACATATATTTCGTATTTTCACCCCCGCACCACTTATCGCCCCACTCATGTACGGAGAATTGACAATAATCGTTTGACGTTTTTCTTTTGGATAGCGGAATCGACGAATGGAGGTGCCAGTAAGTGAAACCCATGTATACCATAAGAGTGCCGTGAGCTCAACATCGATTTTTGTTTTTTTTTTTTTTCGTTTGTTTTTCTTTTCTATCTTCTTTTCTATCTTTTTTATCTTTCTCAGTCTAAATTTTTCTTCTCCATATCTCTCGTTTGATTTCCGCACTTTCACTTTCATCAACGCGCGTCATCTTGTGTGCGAGTGATTGAAAAACAACGTTTTCTCGCGCGTCACCTCTGTAGTGTCGTTCAAATGAAAATCAATTTCGTTCTTCTTCTCTTTTTTATTTTTTTTTAAGTCGCATCTTGGTTCGGTTTTTTCTCGGGAGGTTTCTGTGGTGTGTGTCTTGTTGTGTGTATTTCCTCGAGGCTCTTCTTTCGATTTCCCTTAACAACATTTAATTTCTTTCCGATACAGAACCCGGTACAGCGCCACGGAAAGTCCAAGTGCGGCCGTTGAGCTCCAGCACAATGGTCATACAATGGGACGAGCCGGAAACCCCGAACGGTCAAGTGACGGTCGGTATCCTTTCCTCTCGTTTCCTTTTTTGTTTTTCGCGCGCGCAATGTTTCGCGCGCTAACGCGAAATTCCTCCGCCGCAGGGATACAAGGTGTACTACACGACGGACTCGAACCAACCGATGGCGTCGTGGCAGTACCAAATGGTGGACAACAGTCAGCTGACCACCATCTCGGAGCTGACGCCGCACACGATCTACACCATAAGAGTCCAGGCGCTGACGAGCGTGGGTCCCGGTCCGCTCAGTCTGCCGGTCCAGATCAAAACGCAGCAAGGGGTACCGAGTCAACCCGAAATGCTTACGGCGGTCGACATCGGGGAGACCAAAGTTACGCTCCAATGGAGCAAGCCCGCTCATAGCGCTGAGAACATTCTCAGCTATGAGCTGTACTGGAATGACACTTACGCAAAGGTACGCGGCGAATGTTAATCATCTTTTGTCGCTACGAGGTCGCTTTTTCGGTTTTTCTTCGCGCTCGAGAAACAACAGATGATCGCGTATCGGATCATTGATTAATCGGCGTGTGATTAGGATTTGTAATCTATTTTCTAACGTGAATCAGGAGAAGCATCATCGCAGAATACCGGTGACCGAGAACTACACCCTGACGGGCCTGTACCCGAACACTCTCTACTACGTGTGGCTGGCCGCGAGGAGTCAAAGAGGTGAAGGCGCAACGACGATACCGTATCCGGTTCGCACCAAACAGTACGGTAAGCAGAACACACACAGTGAATGCGAGTCGAAGTGAAAAGTTCATGCAGCGAGGAGTGCCAGACGCATGCCGATACGTGATCGTCGCGAGATGTGGTGGCGACGTCCCGACGGAGAAAAAAAAAAAAAAAAAAAATCATCCGGGTGGGACCTCACTGTTGAAATTCCTTTTTCCGCGGTTCTCGCGCGATCACGCGTCGCGATGGCACAGCAGGTAGGAGGTGCTGTAGCGCTAGACGCTCCTGCAAGTAGCGTAAGCTATCGACGCACAACACCTTGTTTGAAAGAAAGAGCCTTTTTTTTTTTTTTAAAGTCAATCTTTTGCGGATCATATTCGATAATGACGCGTTTAATAAGAGAAAATATAAAGGAAAAGAGAGCGATAAGAAAAAAATAAGAAAAAAGAAATAGGAAAGACGGAAGATAAGGGAGTTTATAAACTGTTGTCGAAGCCAAAGTGAAGTGTGGGAGAGTGAGAATGACTGCATGCGTTGCAAATAAGAAAGCCGTTTTTGGATGCCACTTTATATATATATATCTATATATATACGTACATATCATACATATAAATTGCACTAAGCACTGCATCGATATATGTGTGCATTTTGGGCACCTCTTTTCATTCTCGATAACATATATTGATTTTATCGTCCGTTCTTCAGTTTTTTCGTTGTCTCGTTTCCCTTGCAATATATTATATTAAACGTGTTTTTTGAAACTCGTTAACTCGGGGAGCGACCATTTTATACATAAAAGGCCCGAGTTAACTTGTCAGAGCCGCACCGGGAGAACTGTCTCTAATCACGTATTTTTTTCGACTGTTCAAGGATGTTCGAATTCATGACTCTTTTTGACCTTTGAATATTCTTTAAACCTCTTTCTTGAAACCTCGACCAGTCACGTTTTTCGTTAAGTTGGTATCCCTCGACAGTCATCGTCGACCGTGCCCCTCCCTCCTCGTCTCCGACTTGAAGAATCATCGAATCGAAGAGAATACGAGGACTCGCGTGTATATTAACCGCTTTTTGTCATTTTTTTAATGTTCGTTATCGCTAATTTATGTATAATCTTTTTGTTATTTCACAAGACAATTAACTTAAACCACTTATTTTTCTATGTAGATACTATAAATATTTTGTTGGTTGTTTTTCTCAGTTGAGGAGATTATCTGGTGATTAAAAAAAAATAAAACACTAATCGTCACATTAATTTCATGTAACTTTGCACTTTGCTCTGATTTCTCGCGGCGACTTCCCGTGCTCCTTTCGACTTTGAACCTCAAGCCGGAGTCCGGAAGTAACAATCGGCCGGTAACTGTCGATTTATACCTCCCCCCCCCCCCCCGATTTTGTTTTCTTTTCCCCTCCCCTATAACTGAGTGTTATGCAGTCCCCGGGGCTCCGCCTCGCAATGTAACCGCCAAAGCGATCAGCCCGACCGAAATATTGGTAACGTGGGAACCGCCGGCCGCTGAACGCTCCAACGGAAGGATCGCCTACTACAGGCTGCAAGTCGTCGAGAGCGGTCGCTCCGACTCCGAGGCGAAGATAATCAAACTGAATGACACGCGTTTCGTGGTGGACGAGCTGAAAAAGTGGACCGAGTATCGGATCTGGGTATTGGCCGGGACCAGAGTAGGTGACGGGCCCCCGAGTTATCCTATCACGGTCAGAACTCACGAGGACGGTATGTATCACTGACACTAACTGAAAGTCTCTCTGTTTATTCTTAGCCACGCGAGGAGTGACGTGTAAAATCCGTGGTGACGCATTGCGCGCGAGGGAAGTGAACGTCTCTGCAATTTTTTTTTTCTTTTCCGCGCGCACGTTTCAAAAATGTTCTACTTTTCAAGAACCACCGAGATTATAATGCTCGAGAAGAAAAATGGTGAGCGAGAAAATTTTATTCTTTTGATCGCGATCGCGTGAAAAAAAACAAAGTTCGCGACAAACCTCGACGAATGCCGCGGTCGCTACGAATTTCACACGCTAAGCTTCGCGGAATGGAGAATTAATTAATTTGGGATGATGTGATATAAACGCGCCTCATCCGAGAGCCAAAAATATAAAAGCCCGCCAAAGTCAGTCCGCGGTTTGTACTCTCGCGCGGTTCCAGTGCGGGTTGCGAAAAACGACACGCCGTGTTATTACTATCATTCCCGATCTGGTGAAAAAAAATTGCATTGTGTATTATACAATATAATAATAATATATATATATAAACAGTACTTTCGATTTCAGATTCCGCTATAACGTCACTTCGTCACCTGTCTCTTTTCCCCATACTCAAACGACCAGAATACTTCACTTCCTCTCATCACGACTTTCTCTTTTCTTTTTTTCTGCGTTTTTCTTTTTCTTTCTCTCTTTCTCTCTCTCTCTCTCTTTCTCTATCGTCTTTATCTTTTGTTTTTTCTCCAGTGATTCTACACTCACGTTTATATTTTGCATTGTGTTTGTTTGTTTACGTTATGTGTTTATTATTCTATTAAAAAATTACAATATAATGTTATTGTATACATATATATTATACTGTATTATATTATATATATATGAGCTTTCTCCTCTTCTCTCACGCCATTCTTGTGTTACAGTTATATAGTTTCGAGAAACGAACTATCGAATCTCACCCATCTCGTGACGAGAGAGGAAAAGAGGACGGACACGGCCCTTTTTTCCGGTCGGGTTACGTTTTTTTGCGCGAACAAGAGTTTTGAACGCGCACGACTTTTTGGATTTTTCCGCGCCTCTCCAATCACGCTACTCCGGATCGCTTTCCTGTCGTTCTTTTCGCAACTTCTCCTTCACACTCACTCACTTTCTCTCTCTTTCTCTCTCTCTCTTTCTCTCTTTTTCTCCCCATCCCTGTGTATCCTCGATTTTTATAAAACGTCACCCATCGCGACGCGAAACACGAAACGATGATGGCCCTACTTTTTTGGCTGGCGAGATTTTATATTTTTGGATTTTTTGCGACGATAAAGTTTCCACAAACTTATTCTCTCTATAGCTCTCTCTCTCTCTTTTCCCCCCTGAAAAAAAAGAACTCCCAAAAGCTCCAAAAAAAAAAAAAAAAACAACCCTCTCTTTTAGTGTGCCCCACGACCGTTTTTTCCAGGTGCACGCAGCCACGGATTTTTCAGAAGCTGATAACCAATTTTTGAGCTCAGCTATTAAAGTTGAAAAAAAAAAAGAAAAAAATCGAATTTTCTCACACCGTTTTTTACAGGGCCTAAAAAAACCGCAACTCTCTCTCTTTGTTCGTTGCCGTTGGTTTTTTTCATCCCCCCACAGAGCCCCACTTTTAAAAACTTGGATAAACTAATTTTGAACACGCTAATCAATACTTAATACTTAATTATTACTCACTCACGTGTTTTTGTCTTTCCTTAAAGCATTTGCAGGAGGATGATCCAGGTTTTGAACAGCTAGTTTTTAAGATATATCTATATTTTTACAACACACTATCGTAATATATTAAACATTTAATAATATGTACTCACATATTATACACACTCAATGTTCTTTCTGGTGGTTACCGTGATTTCGTCAGTAAAGATGTTTCGTTTCTCTCCTTTAGTTCGTTAAAACTAACTCACTCTTGCCACGTGTTATGAAGATAGAAGTCAGGCTGGCCGTCCCCCTCCTTGCCATTATTTCCGTTTACTCTCTCATCACATCCGAGATAGCAATAAAAAAAATAAATAAATAAAAAAAAATAAAAAAATAAAAAATAAAAAAAAAAAACAAATACTGACACAGATGAAATTTAATAAATACCAATTTTTCCCGCTAAGTCGACGAAAGTAATGGCAAAGCAAGGGACAGTTTGCGAGTGAAGCGCTTACGTATATATATATATAAAAACTCTAGCGAATGTTATCTCACACACAAAAATATATATATATGACGCATTTTTTCTCACTATATATATATATATATTGATATATATTACACATATATATATTTCTATATCTCTCTGATATATAAGGCTCTTCTGTCTTTAGTTGAGATTTAGTTCTACCTATCGTTTGCACATGTTTAGAGCATGCCTTCGTTTGTTTAAAGATTCCTTGATTTTCCCTATGAAAACGAATCTCCAAAAGAGACAATCAACCTTTTTGGATTCTCACTCCTCTCCTCTCCTCTTCCCTTTCCATCCCTCCTCCCCCCTCCCATCATATTCGGGAAGGAGAGAAGCCCGAATCCCGAGAAATCCTTCACCTGTGCGATTTCCTGTCAAAAATTTCCTTTCTCCGTTCACCAACATGGAAAATCCGCCGAACTTTGTCGAGTCTGCGAAAATCTCTCATCCCGACGACAAAACATTTCAACATTTATATTATCATCTTACATATCCTATGAATGGCATGCCGATGCATGAGAGAGACAGTTTTGCTTTCTGTTTAATTTCCCGTTCCCGTACGAGCGTCACCGCCAAGAGGTGCCGATCGATCCCCGCATGTCGAACGTTTTTCGTCCCCCTTTTTCGAGGTATCCCGAAAAATATATAGCGTCCCCTCACTCCCACGTAACAAAACAAATTCGGCGCCGAGAGAACAAAATTGTTTGTACGATATTTATATAGTAGCCCGTTGAAAAAATAAATCTCCGCGCGGTCGTTAGCCACGGGTATTTCCCCGGGAAATCATTTAATCGTAACGATAACTTCTCTCGGTGGCGGAGGAGGCGCGGCGGCGGTACGACGGCGTGGTCGTTAAAAGTTTCACAACGCAAGTAGAAACAACGCGATCGCGAGATTGAAAAAAAATAATTGAATGAAAACTAGAGCTGCGACACGACGAGGGTCACAAAAAAAAAAGCCAAAAAAAAAAAAAAAAAAAAAAAAAAAACAGAAGAAATAAAAACAAACTTTTCCGCGGGGCAGAGATTCAGAAAGCGGGCGAGACGACAACGCGGCGAACGAGTACAACAAACGCAAGAGAATCGCGCGCGAGGTTGTCTCTAACCGGCTATGATGAAGATATTCCGCGTTTCGGACAGAGAGCGGAGGAGAGCATCATTTGTCGTTGCGGGGGCATTATGCTGCCATGATTGTTGAACGAAAAGTCGTACCGACGCGTCCGTAACGATCTCCCCTTACGCCTTTCACCGCTCGCCTCACTATGGAACGCTCTTCCCCGGATCCTCTTTCGTTTCACTAACCCTCCCTCGCCTGTGCCCAAGCCCGCTTCCCTCGTTTCAGGCATTATCCCGTCCATGGAGCAACTGATCCGGTTGCCCGTTCAACCCTCCCGAAGCAGACTCGGCAGAGCGAAGCAAAACGATAAAAAAAAAAAAAAAAGCACTGCTGAAAGCACCCTGCCGTGTAAGCTCGCACATTGTCAAAGCACAAAGATTCACCGTCACGTGTATAGCACACATATATATATTTCTTCTACGCATACGTTTTACTATTATTACTTACTGTCATTCGCCATTTATATATATTGTCGAGAGTATATATTTTTATATTATATTTATTATGTGCACGGGCACCTTGCAAAAATCACTTATATTAAACGCGCCGGCACCGTGTGTGTATTTTCACGTATTATAATAATATCAGTATATATTTTCTCGCACCCACCACGCACGCATACACGCACTTCGTTAATCAAGTATAATAATAAACGCGGCGTCACGCCCGAACGTACGCACGCGTGCGTGCGCGCGTGCGTGCGTTTGTCGCGTGGCGCCGTCCGCCGTATCGTAGATTTTTTTTTTTTTCTTAAATTCTGACCACCTGTGAGCACCGATTTCTTCTCTCAAGAGCACCCGCTTCTCCTTCACGATTGATTCGATGATAAAGAGCACACGCGTGCACGTTACGCACTCACGCACAACACACAGGAGCACACGTGCGGGCGTGTGCGTAAATATAAATATACGCATTTTGGATGTGCGTAAAAGGCGTTTGTAGCGTTTTGACGCAACGCGCGTTGCGTGAGAAAACCGCACCCGTCCGTTGCTGCACAAGCAAGCGGCTATAACACACGTTCGAATAAATATTGTTATAGACGACGCAGTGTACATGTAAATCTCGTGTGCCGCCCCGCGCACCAGCACTGAAAGCACCCTCGAAAAGCACCCCCCACTGTCGACTGTCGTGCAACCTGAAGCTTCTTCCTGAGGCGGTCTCGAAACAAAGGCGCGATGCAAAGGCTCGGCTATATAATGACTGTTGGCGGCGTCAACAATAACGAACGGTGTATCGCGCGTTGGCGCGGACAACGCAGATTTGCTCTTAGCATTTTGCCGCTGTTAAAAAAATATAAACCAACATCCGTGAAATGACATTTCACACGCCATAATGGCCGTGTGCATTGCGTTGCCATTGGCGTGTGTGTGCACTTACAGATCACTGATTCTTTTTTTTTTTTNTTTTTTTTTTTTGGAAAAAAGCGAGATCTGCATAAGTTAGCTGGCGTTAACAATTACCTTTTTTTTTTTTTTTTAATTGAAATGGAACATTATTTCATTACAGCTCGTGCGGATCGGTCTTTTATTGAAAATTTTACCTCTCTTAAGCGGTATTTACATAATATTCTATAGAAAAAATTATCGCTACTTTTGTCGGTGATTTAATCGCGGTGTTCGAGCCCGCGACAGGAAGACGCGCGCGTGAATGCGTGAGTGATTGTATAAAAGGTTACCTTATGGAAGAAGGACGACGCGTAAGAGCGT